ACTGGCCTACTCTCTCCCATACAACAGCAGAAGACTGCAAGAGCAGACGACTCTTACTGGCCTACTCTCTCCCCTACAACAGCAGAAGACTGCAAGAGCAGACGACACTAACTGGCCTACTCTCTCCCCTACAACAGCAGAAGTCTGCAAGAGCAGACGACACTTACTGGCCTACTCTCTTACCGACAACAGACGATCTCTCCCCTATAAGAGCCGAAACAGATGATCTGACCAGAGGCAGACTTATTCCAAGGACTTATGGAGTATATCCACAAGCAGACAGGTGGTTAAATCAGAGGTACATTAACCCCAAGGAAGTATGCAATATCCATTCTGCTTGTCTCACATCAATAGTGATCTGACCATGATCACAGATGACAAAGACTTGGGTATCCATGGATACACAGATCATGTCACAGCAACATCACCAACTCCATGATGTCAGCATCAAAACACACAAGTCAACAGTGTTTATCGACACCCACAGTGGTACTGTACCATCCAGGATGCACTGTCATGCTTCCAACACTGTGACGCTGACACGCTGATGCTGTCACAACCAGCAGACAAGGTCTAGGTTTCCCAGAGGAGACAACAAGTTGATGATGGATGCAGAAGGCACTGTCAACACAGCCATGATATCCACACAATACCTGCATGTGATATCAGATGATACCTGAACATATTACCGCTTGTCATGTGATAACACACACGTAGCCTGCCGACCATACTCCAGAGTTACCTGCACTACAAACCAGTGTCGCCTGCATTTCAGACTGGAATTACACCAGTGATACGCCTGCACGAGATGTCCCATGGTATCTCAAAGTGTCACAAGATTTCAAAGAGTCACGTAAAAATAAATGATGTATGCCAATTGAAGGAGATACTCCAGAAGCATGTGGTTTGTGATACACATGCATACACGCACACACACAAAAAAGACAAACACTCCAAGGTAAGTGCAGCATGAGTAGGACACACACAAACAAACACACGCAGACTCAGATGCAGACACACAGACACATACACACAGTAACACACACAGAGATACAAACACACACTCCAAGGTAAGTGCAGCATGAGTACATTCACACACAAACAAACACACACACACACACGCAAACTCAGATGCAGACACACAGACACATACACACAGTAACACACACAGAGATACAAACACAGAGACACACACAGACAGACAGAGACACACACAGACACACACACACTGTAAGTGCAGTATGAGCAGACAAGCCTGGTCCTCTAACAGCAGATCCCAGTAATCACCACAAAAGATAAGAAGACATATTCTCCGACTACACAAGGTGGCAGCAGCGGCGATGACCCTGGCACTACTGACAAAGAGAACAGACTGCCCTGAGACAGCCCCATGTATTGATCCCCCCAGCACTCAGCACACGTCATGCACAACTGTCAATGCAATATAATACTTCCTTATGGGATTCCTAGCTGTTGGAAATCTGAGGTCTTCTTCAAAGTGTTGACTGCGAGGCAGATCCTTGGCCCTGCCCCAGAGGTGGCGTGTAATGGAGGCGGGCTTCACACAGGGTGCCCACAGCCACTCACAGCCTTCAGGGGGCGGGCTTCACAACATGTTGCTCCGCCCATCGGACTGCAAACAATGACAGTTATTCCCCCCACTGCCCCCGGGAACACACACTGGGCGCTATTGATGGTAATACCATGCCTGTTACATTGATTTATGTAAATTTCAAATGTTCTACTGTCATAAATGAGAATGCCTCCATGGTAACATGTTCAGCTGAATATGATAGACATGTTTGGTGTAACATAAAGACTGGGTTCAAGAAAAAGAAACAATTTACATATTTGAAGATCTAGAAATGTGTAATTGCTCTGCAAGCACTTTGTTGCTCATTTGTCAGAGAGAATGGGTTATCTCCCTTTGACTGTTAGATCTGGCCCAGACCGACAGCTCCTCATCACTGGTTTACCACAGGTCCATGAAGACCACACTGATCACTCTCATCATCACTGTGAGTGAGTGATTAAATGGAAGAAATTGTTCACGGCACTCCATCTGCATATCATCTGGTTCAATGATAACTATGGTGAAGAAAGAAAAAGGTGGTTTGCAGGTTTGTGAAAAAGGAGGGAAATATTTTGGTACTGAAGCTGAAATAAACAGTTTCATGTTGTTGATGTTCCTGTGAGGACCAAGACTTAGTCTCATGTGGCCTCACACTGTAATGCATAACTGCACCTGGATGAAACAGAAGTAAACTTCAAAGGGGGAAGAACAGTTGGATAAGAAAACAATAATTGTACAACTGAACATGTGATACGGGTATTTCCACTCCATTTGGTGATCATGTGACGAAAGACATGTCAAACTCATCCTCAGGTTACCAGATACGTGTATGTACCCACAGTTCCGTGCTGACCTAGATATGTGTATATAACCACAGTTCGATGCTGACCTAGATATGTGGATATACCCACACTTCCGTGGTGACCTAGATATGTGTATATACCTAGTTCCGTGCTGACCTAGATATGTGTATATACCCACAGTTCCGTGGTGACCTAGATATGTGGACATACCCAGAGTTCCATGGTGACCTAGATATGTGGATATACCCACACTTCCGTGGTAACCTAGATATGTGTATATACCAACAGTTTGATGCTGACCTAGATATGTGTATATACCAACAGTTCGGTGCTGACCTAAATATGTGGATATAGCCAGAGTTCCGTGCTGACCTAGATATGTGGATATACCCACAAATCCGTGCTGACCTAGATATGTGGGTATACCCACAGTTCCATGCTGACCTAGATATCTGGACATACCCACAGTTCCGTGCTGACCTAGATATGTGGATATACCCACAGTTCCATGCTGACCTAGATATCTGGACATACCCACAGTTCCGTGCTGACCTAGATATGTGGATATACCAACAGTTCGATGCTGACCTAGATATGTGGATATACCCACAGTTCGATGCTGACCTAGATATGTGGATATACCCACAGTTCGATGCTGACCTAGACATGTGGATATACCCACAGTTCGATGCTGGCCTAAATATGTGGATATACCCACAGTTCGATGCTGACCTAGATATGTGGATATACCCACAGTTCGATGCTGACCTAGATATAGAGAATCTCACCCGAGTGTCTTTTGATATCAAATACATCAACACGAGTTGATAAAAGTGGAAAAATTCTGAGGCTTGCCGAGGATTTTTGCCACTTTTATCAACGAGTGTTGATATATTTGATATCAAAAGACACGAGGGTGAGATTTTATTTATCATCCAACATCATTCTTTTAACTTTTTCAATTTGTAGACAATAATTAGCCGTGTCTTCAGTGTAAAAAGTACTGCAAACAGCTTGAGTAGCAGAGCCATTAGTGATGTCATTTGATTGTGACGTCATGGTAACCAGTGACGTCACAATGGTCTGCAAAGCATTGTGATGTAATTTCTGCAGCGATATCTACAGTGTAGTGTATCGCTTGATCTCATCCAAGCATATCTCCTGTTGGAGCCAGTTTTGGATGATAAATGTGGATATACCCACAGTTCGATGCTGGCCTAAATATGTGGATATACCCACAGTTCGATGCTGACCTAGATATGTGGATATACCCACAGTTCGATGCTGACCTAGATATGAGGATATACCCACAGTTCGATGCTGACCTAGATATGAGGATATACCCACAGTTCGATGCTGACCTAGATATGTGGATATACCCACAGTTCGATGCTGACCTAGATATGAGGATATACCCACAGTTCGATGTTCCAGACCAGAATATGGGCTACTGGTTTTCAATATGGCAATAGCATTACAAACACAAATTTCAGAAACATACCAACAGACCAACAGTCTGTAGTTACCTACCCTGAACAGCTCCCAAAACACATCAACAGTCAAACATACATATATATCATGCAACAGAATCTACAACAGCTGCCATGAAGTCCTACCCCGCTCACGATCATTGGCGGCCATTGTGACCACTGAATATCCATGGTAGGTGGAAATGAAAGTACCGTATTCGACGTAATAAGCGCCCCGCTCTAATATACTATGTTCACGACACTAATGCTTAAATTCCAGAATTTTGACACTTGTGTCGTAAAGACACAATGACATGAACATGAATATAATATCCTCTACATACTGCTCAACCTTTGATAGGGATACATCTATTATTTCAGGATGCCAAACTGATCATATATAATAGATGAGCAAATAACATGAAATATCTCAGTATCCCTAACTAAAGTTGAGCCGTATATTTCAGGTTTGTAAGAACACGGAGCTGGTCTCCTGAGTGAATGAGTGTTGGTGATGCATGTGTGTAACCACTGCACACACATATAATGTAACAGTATATTTCAGGTTTGTAAGAACACGGAGCTGTTCTCCTGAGTGAATGAGTGTTGGTGATGCATGTGTGTAACCACTGCACACACATATAATGTAACAGTATATTTCAGGTTTGTAAGAACACGGAGCTGGTCTCCTGAGTGAATGAGTGTTGGTGATGCATGTGTGTAACCACTGCACACACATATAATGTAACAGTATATTTCAGGTTTGTAAGAACACGGAGCTGGTCTCCTGAGTGAATGAGTGTTGGTGATGCATGTGTGTAACCACTGCACACACATATAATGTAACAGTATATTTCAGGTTTGTAAGAACACGGAGCTGGTCTCCTGAGTGAATGAGTGTTGGTGATGCATGTGTGTAACCACTGCACACACATATATTGTAACAGTATATTTCAGGTTTGTAAGAACACGGAGCTGGTCTCCTGAGTGAATGAGTGTTGGTGATGCATGTGTGTAACCACTGCACACACATATAATGTAACAGCATATTTCAGGTTTGTAAGAACACAGAGCTGGTCTTCTGAGTGAATGAGTGTTGGCGATGCATGTGTGTAACCACTGCACACACATATAATGTAACCGTATATTTCTTACCGTATCTCGATGAGGCAATAATTCTTTCCTGATCTTAAAGAAGTTCTTCCCATACTGCCTCAGGCCTTTGATGAAACGTTTCTGAAAAAAAACGAGAAGCAAATTAATGACAGTAGTTCAGTGGTTGGTCATTGAGCATATATGGGGGAATCTTCTCATAGATCGCCTCCATGTCTAGCAGACAGCGCTCTGCTGGAGAGTGGAAAGTCTGTGGTTTGATCCCCCGTCATACCAATAAAACTAAGAGATGGTACTTGATGTTACCCTGATGTCAGAGTCCGATACTGTGTCTGAGGGGTATTCATGTTAAACTGCAGCATGGCATCTCAGTGGGCTAGCACCATAAAATCGGCATCAGTCCAGACGAGTACTAGCAGACAGACAGACAGACAGACAGACAGACACACATTCACGTCGCAATATAAATGCAACGATCTTGAACGCGATATTAAGCCCCATGTCTCATGATCTCACACGGGATATCGTAAAGACGATGAATTGGTATCACTCTGGCAAAGACTGTGTCGATGACATGGTCCACTGTCGACACTCCGCTATCTTGAACTATGGAGAACAAATATACAGAGCTCCAGATAAGCTTTTGGTGTTGTGGGTATTTTACCCATGCATTTTAAAATCATTGGGTATCAGTAATTCTATCTGCGTATTCAAATTTCTTTTACCCACTAGTTTTTACACATGTGGTTATTTAAGTTAAATATTTAAAAACACTATTCATCTAGTTCCCTGCAAACTGGCGTCTTGTGGGTTCGAGAGCTTTATAGGACTCAAAAATACCACGATACTTCCACAAGAAAGTGTGATGGCAAATGATCATGATGTAACTGTCATCGTGGAGTTTGGCAAGGTTGACGGAATGCCCGTTTATAATTTCAAAATAAGTTGCTGATTTGGTAATCGAATACGCAGGGTTACTTCACAATATTTTGATGATACACACAAGTTTTATTTTTGTAGCGTATCTGTAATGTTCGTTGCGTATTTGATACGCTTGGATTATATTTTACTGTGTATTTCTGCATTTCTGATGCGTATTTCACGCAGATACGCAGCTTATCTGGAGCTCTGTATATATTTGCTTGTTCCCAAGGACTTTCACAATGGCTTCACTGTTCACCAATCAGTGTGCAAGTGGCAGACTCTTTGCGTGTTTCCAGTCACTTCCTGTGGGAATTAAGAAAATGGAGGTAGCAGCCCCTCCAAAATGTCAAACGGTAAATATTTCAAGCATTTAGGAGGATTTAACCTGAATGTTTTCTAGCTATGACTTCTAAACTCCATCACAAAGCCTCTTGATACCGGTAACTCTTTAATGGAAAAATCTGACATTGTGTTTGTGATCATTGTGTTTAATCTGTCACTTCAACTTCTTAGGCTCTTCATGGCAAGGACTTCTAACCACGACTGCAGTCGCCCATAAAGCTAGCTTCCTCAGATCCCCAACACATCTGACACATTCATACTTCTTTGCAGAAGCAGGAATTACATAACAATCTTTGTCGTTATACATCAATCACTGGCCTCCAAATGACTGCCAGACTAACAAGTGTTGGTGCGTGTGGTCTCGTGTGGTCTCGCCGTCAGGCACAGATCACAGACGCAGAAGTCATCAATTGTGGATGTAATGACATCAATCTGATTCACAGCCGCGGCTAAATCTCAAACAATCTGGATCTTCCACACCATGTGTGTCACATGTGACCACGGTGACGGCATCTGCAGCAGCCTACGCAACGTCTATGAATCAGCTCCACTGTAAACTCCACAGAAGAAGGTTCAGTTTCGACCTCACCTTCCCCAGGAACAACACTTGTCTCCATCACCATTCCCCTCCACCAATCCCCTCCTCTGTTTTTTTATTTTTGTTTAACACCTCACTCAGCATTATTCCAGCCATATGACGTCAGTCTGTAAATAATCGAGTCTGGCCCCGACAACCCAGTGATTGACATCATGAGCATCGACATACGCAATTGGGATATGATGACATGCATCAACCAAGTCAGCGAGCCTGACCACCCAATCCCTCAAGTCGCCTCCTACGACAAGCATAGTCGCCTCTTTCAGCAAGCATGGGTTGCTGAAGACCTATTCTGACCTGGATCTTCACAGGTCTCACATCATGTAGGAAGACAATGCAATGAATGATGTATGAGGATATAACAAATTATTGTTTTGACAACAATATTAGTGACCAACTTCACTGGGTCATTAACAAATAGCAGCTCTTTTCTGTTTGCCAGTTACCTTACTTTCAATAACAGAAAAGTCAAACAAATATGCTCTGTCTGCATTTATCACAAAATAAATGAATTGCAAACGATTCCAAGGCAGTTGATTTGCTAACCAAATTATTGTTCTGTATTTCCATAAACCACCATTACCAGTCTACTTTCTTATTGGCTGATAAAAGAGTGGGCGGGACTTATGTTGCATTATTGCACCCCACCCTCTATTATCAAATGGTAGGTCCCTAAACATGTGGACTATTATCATTTTTATTATTTTCAAATACTTACAGCATGAATGTTGAATTGATAATTTAGTTTATCCACTGACTCATAATTCTGATAAACGATTTGTGATTTCCAATCTCTCGTGAACAAACAGTCTATATCATACTTCTAGGGCTGGCTATTGATACAGATCAAAGAGACTGATAATCATTAACTAAATATTGATAAATTTTCGATTAATATCAGAGAATTATTTGAAAGCAAATATGCAAAAAGGTCTGAAAGAGTGAGTGAGTGAGTGAGTTTGGTTTTACGCCGCTTTTAGCAATATTCCAGCAATATCACGGCGGGGGACACCAGAAATGGGCTTCACACATTGTACCCATGTTGGGAATCGAACCCGGGTCTTCGGCGCGACGAGCGAACGCTTTAACCACCAGGCTACCCGACCGCCCTTGTATGCATACAAATATAGACATTGTATAATATAAGCTATTAACACACTTCATGTCACTGGTGAGAGTTGACACATTTATGCATGGATCACTCTGTGGACGTTTAAGATATAACAAAGACAGTTGCTTTCCGTCTTTCGCCATTGACATGACTACATGATTATAACAAGTTTGTTTTGGTAAATTTAAACCTTATTTCATCCCAATTGTTTATGTGAGATGTAATCAATGACAGTATTTTCATATTGATAATCGTTAATATTTCTTCCCATCAATGATAATTCTGATTACTGATCTTTTTGCCAGCCCTATTTAACATGTCTTGTGGGAAACTGTATCCAGTAACTTCCCCGTCATTAACTGCAGCAGAAGCAAATATCGTTGTCCATTTAGCAGAAAATATGTACATTTTACAAACATTATCTGCGAGGTGTCATATCATGATGAAATGTTGTCAAACAACACGATGATGTAACACAGAGCTAACATAGATGAAGTTGTTCCACTTTTGCCTAGAAGTTGTCACACACAGTTGATAGCCAATCAAACAGCAGCATACAAAGATTCTGACCAATCAAACACAAGGTTTGATGACACAGTTCAAAGCCAAACATCATACGGATGCTGTTGTGTTGGCTTGTGACAAAATATTCGCCCACTTAGACACAGAGTGGAAACAAGTTGCTTTGCCTGACAAGGATGTCGGATCACACAACTACCCAGCTCTGTTTGATGTCACCGTGTACACACGTCGTGGTGAATATACCTCTGTGAAAAAACGCGAGGTGACATTCACTTCTCAGTCGCAGTGCGGCGCAGCAGGGTGAGAAAGTGTGGAAGATCTGCCCCGCCGTGTGAACTTGAACATGGCCCTGCCCTGTCAGACATTTCATTGAGCAATACAGGCAGCAGTGGTACAAGCCTTCAGTTGTCACCACACTAACTGATATGCTGATGCATCAACAGTCAAACTCCATGAATTAACAGACAAAATTCATTGGGTTAGACTGTTGATATAATAGACAAAATGACCCGTAAAGATCCGGGGTAGAATAGGTCATCAGCAATCCATGCCTGCTGTAAAACAAAAGCTGACTATGCTTGTCGTAAGAGGCGACTAACAGGAACGGGTGGTCAGGCTCACTGACTTGGTTGATGCATCTCATCGTATCCCAATTGCGTGGATCGACCGCGGTCATATAGATGGAATATTGCCGCGTGCGGTGTTAAACAACAAACAAACAAATAATGTACAAAAATATAATGCTGAAATAAACAATTAAATGTACATGTACCATCAGCATGCACGGACCCTCCATGATTGGGATCAACACACTGGCCGGCAGTCAAATGGATCTGCTGTTCCACTTGATCTGATTATGCTTGTTGTCTGTCATCAGGGAACTAGCTTCTCAATCCTTATCTGTATCCCAATCAGGACATACACCATCAAGCTTCCACACTCAACTCTATCTGCCAGCCAGTTCAACACAATTCCACACACCAGTTATCAGATTGTCAGTTTCTCTGTGAGTAGTATCTGGCCCAGATTCTGTCTTCTATATGTCAGTCATATAGACAGTTGTATTTTATAAAGACCAGAGTAGTATCTGTTCAAGATCCAAGGATATGTCCACTATATGCCAGTTATGTAGACAGTTGTGTTTCATAGAGATCAGTAGTATCTGTTCAAGATTCAAGGCATATGTCCACTATATGTCAGTCATATAAACAGTTGTGTTTTATGTAGACCAGTAGTATCTGTTCAAGATCCAAGGATATGTCCACTATATGCCAGTTATGTAGACAGTTGTGTTTCATAGAGATCAGTAGTATCTGGTCAAGATTCAAGGATATGTCCACTATATGTCAGTCATATAAACAGTTGTGTTTTATGTAGACCAGTAGTATCTGTTCAAGATCCAAGGATATGTCTCCAATATGTCAGTCATATAAACAGTTGTGTTTTATGTAGACCAGTAGTATCTGGTCCAAGGATATGTCCACTATATGCCAATTATGTACCATACTTTCTTGAGTGAGTGAGTATGGTTTTAAGCTGCTTTTAGCAATATTCCAGCAATATCACGGCGGGGGACACCAGAAATGGGCTTCACACATTGTACCCATGTCGGTACTTTCTTGAGTATAGTGCGCACACGAGTATAATGTGCACCCCCTCTAGCGGATTCAGTAATTTGGAGAATTCTTTTATGAATATTATGCCCAGAAAAAAATTACACCGTACCCCTTCAGCGAATTCCGGTAAACGAACGTGTGATGAGAAACTCGGTCAGTTCAAATTTGAAATTAGAGACAAAAAATTCACCAGACATGTTGACTTACCGTTTAAATTGTAGTTTTTTGTGCTGCAAGGCATTCTTTTACATCCAGGTATTAAGATTACCTTGTGTAATTTCTCGTAAACTAAGCCCCAAACAGCAATCAGCTGTACACACGTTTTCTTGGAATCTACCGGTGATTCGGTCAAGACACACCCAATTATATAACTTTACAATATTTTAATGCAAGGATTGGCAAAAATTGTATCTGAAACTATTTTTTTATCAGGAATAATATATTCCATTTTCTTGTTATTTTAGTTGCAGCTTTTACTAAATATATTTAAAATACTTATAACCCAAAGCGAAGCATCTGATGGCTATTGCCAGTTATTATTTTGCACATGGAACCAGTTTGAACAGTCACCGCCGAGGTTCCTGCGCACGTAATCGCAAGAACTACATGTTGACATAAAATCATCAAACTATAACAAATGTGACTAACGAGTCAAAGTATGGCATTTATGATATATGTATCCATTTTATGTCAACTAAAGTTTGTTTCAAGGCGTCAATAGCAGCAGTCTGACCGTGGTTGCTGTTAATAACGGTGAGTTGTGCGATCTTCACACGATTTCGCCGAAATTAATTAAAACAATATTAAAGGGAATTTTTTATACAATTTATGAAATAAGTTACAAACATAAGTTGAGATATACAAGGAGCACTTTTTATGGCCATACTGTGTAATTACATGATTAATTTGCATACTTTAGTATGGATTTGTTGACATGGTATTTCCGATGTTACGTGCTCACGGTAATGTCTTTCCGTAGGGGGAAAAAACCCATCAAACTCATTACTGTGTGTTTAATGCACACCCCCTTCTACACAGCTGTGTTTTTTTGAAAAAAAAAGTGCACACTATAAAAATACGGTAGACAGTTATGTTTCATAGAGACCAGTAGTATCAGGTCAAGATCCAAGGACATGTCCACAATATGCCAGTCATATTGACAGTTGTGTTTTATAGAAACCAGTAGTAGCTGCTCAAGTTCCAAGGATATGTCCACAACATGCCAGTCCTGTAGACAGTTGTTTTTGACGTAAATAAGCAATTAGAACTGGACCACACAGATCAGTGTTGGAAGTGTGAAGGTATGAGGAGTGAGTGAGTGAGTTGGGTTTAACGCTGCTTTTAACAGTATTCCAGTTATATCACGGCGTGTCAGCTTAATGTGGGAGGAAAGCCTGAAGTGATGCAGGTCTCAGATGTTTGCCACTTCGGTGAAACCCATGAGCACAGGCATGGTGCTGACAAACCTAGAAACATTATCGGGGTAAACCGGGATTCAAACCCACAATCATAGGTTTCTGGCAAGCCTAAGGGACGCAACTCTGCACAGCGAATCGCGGCGCCTCAGACGACTGGGCCACCCGTGCCCCCGAAGGTAGGAGGACATCAGCCAGGTCACAGATTCAGTCTGCTCTGGTTGTCCCCCACCTCTCTCAGTCGGCAGCCATTGTGACCATCCAATCATCATGAGGCTTGTAGATAATCGAACCCAGGGCTTCACCTTGGTGAACCAACACTTTAACCACAGGGCTATTCTCATCTGGAATCTATATGGGACATTGATCAATATTTCCACAATTGCCTTACCGAGTCTTCCTCTGTCCACTTTTTCTCGATGCTGCGCAGTGCTGGACTTCGGACGAGGGCTTGCAATGACTTGCCGGTGTCATACTTGTAGTCATGCAGCTGAAACACAACGTCTGTCGTCAGAAATATCGAACCATGAGGTACTCACATCAACCAAAGCACTGCATGATTTATGACTGTATTGAATATCAATGTGTGCAACATTTATGGTAGACTAAAATTGGTGATAATTTGACTCCATCAGCAATTAATATATTTGGCAGGCAATTTCTGACTTATTGTTGAACAGTTTTCCCTGTTAGTCTCAATTTTGCCTAAATGGTCCTCAAAAGGATGAAAAACACAGCAGTTTGAAAACCACATACACTTGTCAACGAATATTCCATTCCAACACATACACCTGTCAACGAATATTCCATTCCAACACATACACCTGTGATATTCCATTCTGACACATACACCTGTCAGTGGATATTCAACTCAACACATACACCTGTCAGTGAATATTCCATTCTAACACATACACGTGTCAGTGAATATTCTACACTAACACATACACCTGTCAGTGAATATTCTACACTAACACATTCACCTGTCAGTGAATATTCTACATTAACACATACACCTGTCAGTGGATATTCTACACTAACACATTCACCTGTCAGCGAATATTCTACATTAACACATACACCTGTCAGTGAATATTCTACACTAACACATTCACCTGTCAGTCGATATTCTACACCAACACATTCACCTGTCAGTGAATATTCCACTCTAACACATTCACCTGTCAGTGGATATTCTACATTAACACATACACCTGTCAGCGAATATTGTACACTAACACATACACCTGTATGTGAATATTCTACACTAACACGTACACCTGTCAGCGAATATTGTACTCTAACACATTCACCTGTCAGCGAATATTCTACATTAACACATACACCTGTCAGCGAATATTCTACACTAACACATTAACCTGTCAGTGAATATTCTACATTAACACATACACCTGTCAGTGAATATTCCACTCTAACACATTCACCTGTCAGTGAATATTCTACATTAACACATACACCTGTCAGTGAATATTCTACACTAACACATACACCTGTCAGTGGATATTCTACACTAACACATACACCTGTCAGTGAATATTGTACTTAACACATACACCTGTCAGTGGATATTCCACTCTAACACATACACCTGTCAGTGAATATTCTACACCAACACATACACATGTCAGTGAATATTCCACTCTAACACATACACCTGTCAGCGAATATTCTACTTAACACATACACCTGTCAGTGAATATTCTACTTTACACATACACCTGTCAGTGAATATTCTACACCAACACATACACCTGTCAGTGAATATTCTACTTAACACATTCACCTGTCAGTGAATATTCTACACTAACACATACACCTGTCAGTGGATATTCTACTTAACACATTCACCTGTCAGTGAATATTCTACACTAACACATACACCTGTCAGTGGATATTCTACACCAACACATACACCTGTCAGTGAATATTCCACATGAACACATACACCTGTCAGTGCATATTCTACATTAACACATACACGTGTCAGTGAATATTCCACTCTAACACATACACCTGTCAGTAAATATTCTACATTAACACATACACCTGTCAGTGAATATTCTACATTAATACATACACCTGTCAGTGAATATTCTACACTAACACATTCACCTGTCAGCGAATATTCTACATTAACACATACACCTGTCAGTGGATATTCTACACTAACACATACACCTGTCAGTGAATATTGTACTTAACACATACACCTGTCAGTGAATATTCCACTCAACACATACACATGTCAGTGAATATTCCACTCTAACACATTCACCTGTCAGTGAATATTCTACATTAACACATACACCTGTCAGTGAATATTCTACACCAACACATACACATGTCAGTGAATATTCCACTCTAACACATACACCTGTCAGCGAATATTCTACTTAACACATACACCTGTCAGTGAATATTCTACTTTACACATACACCTGTCAGTGAATATTCTACACCAACACATACACCTGTCAGTGAATATTCTACTTAACACATTCACCTGTCAGTGAATATTCTACACTAACACATACACCTGTCAGTGGATATTCTACTTAACACATTCACCTGTCAGTGAATATTCTACACTAACACATACACCTGTCAGTGGATATTCTACACCAACACATACACCTGTCAGTGAATATTCCACATGAACACATACACCTGTCAGTGCATATTCTACATTAACACATACACGTGTCAGTGAATATTCCACTCTAACACATACACCTGTCAGTAAATATTCTACATTAACACATACACCTGTCAGTGAATATTCTACATTAATACATACACCTGTCAGTGAATATTCTACACTAACACATTCACCTGTCAGCGAATATTCTACATTAACACATACACCTGTCAGTGGATATTCTACACTAACACATACACCTGTCAGTGAATATTGTACTTAACACATACACCTGTCAGTGAATATTCCACTCAACACATACACATGTCAGTGAATATTCCACTCTAACACATTCACCTGTCAGTGAATATTCTACATTAACACATACACCTGTCAGTGAATATTCTACACCAACACATACACATGTCAGTGAATATTCCACTCTAACACATACACCTGTCAGCGAATATTCTACTTAACACATACACCTGTCAGTGAATATTCTACTTTACACATACACCTGTCAGTGAATATTCTACACCAACACATACACCTGTCAGTGAATATTATACTTAACACATTCACCTGTCAGTGAATATTCTACACTAACACATACACCTGTCAGTGGATATTCTACTTAACACATTCACCTGTCAGTGAATATTCTACACTAACACATACACCTGTCAGTGGATATTCTACACCAACACATACACCTGTCAGTGAATATTCCACATGAACACATACACCTGTCAGTGCATATTCTACATTAACACATACACGTGTCAGTGAATATTCCACTCTAACACATACACCTGTCAGTAAATATTCTACATTAACACATACACCTGTCAGTGAATATTCTACATTAATACATACACCTGTCAGTGAATATTCTACACTAACACATTCACCTGTCAGCGAATATTCTACATTAACACATACACCTGTCAGTGGATATTCTACACTAACACATACACCTGTCAGTGAATATTGTACTTAACACATACACCTGTCAGTGAATATTCCACTCAACACATACACATGTCAGTGAATATTCCACTCTAACACATTCACCTGTCAGTGAATATTCTACATTAACACATACACCTGTCAGTGAATATTCTACACCAACACATACACATGTCAGTGAATATTCCACTCTAACACATACACCTGTCAGCGAATATTCTACTTAACACATACACCTGTCAGTGAATATTCTACTTTACACATACACCTGTCAGTGAATATTCTACACCAACACATACACCTGTCAGTGAATATTATACTTAACACATTCACCTGTCAGTGAATATTCTACACTAACACATACACCTGTCAGTGGATATTCTACTTAACACATTCACCTGTCAGTGAATATTCTACACTAACACATACACCTGTCAGTGGATATTCTACACCAACACATACACCTGTCAGTGAATATTCCACATGAACACATACACCTGTCAGTGCATATTCTACATTAACACATACACGTGTCAGTGAATATTCCACTCTAACACATACACCTGTCAGTAAATATTCTACATTAACACATACACCTGTCAGTGAATATTCTACATTAATACATACACCTGTCAGTGAATATTCTACACTAACACATTCACCTGTCAGCGAATATTCTACATTAACACATACACCTGTCAGTGGATATTCTACACTAACACATACACCTGTCAGTGAATATTGTACTTAACACATACACCTGTCAGTGAATATTCCACTCAACACATACACATGTCAGTGAATATTCCACTCTAACACATTCACCTGTCAGTGAATATTCTACATTAACACATACACCTGTCAGTGAATATTCTACACTAACACATTCACCTGTCAGCAAATATTCTACATTAACACATACACCTGTCAGCGAATATTCTACACTAACACATTCACCTGTCAGCGAATATTCTACATTAACACATACACCTGTCAGCGAATATTCTACACTAACACATTCACCTATCAGTGAATATTCTTCTCAACACATTCACCTGTCAGTGAATATTCTACATTAACACATTCACCTGTCAGTGAATATTCTACACTAACACATACACCTGTCAGTGGATATTCTACACTAACACATTCACCTATCAGTGAATATTCTTCTCAACACATTCACCTGTCAGTGAATATTCTACATTAACACATACACCTGTCAGTGAATATTATACTCAACACATACACCTGTCAGTGAATATTCCACATTAATACATACACCTGTCAGTGAATATTCTACACCAACACATACACCTGTCAGTGAATATTCCACATGAACACATACACCTGTCAGTGCATATTCTACATTAACACATACACCTGTCAGTGAATATTCCACTCTAACACATACACCTGTCAGTAAATATTCTACATTAACACATACACCTGTTAGTAAATATTCTACACTAACACATACACCTGTCGGTGAATATTCTACTTAACACATACACCTGTCAGTGAGTATTCTACACTAACACATACGCCTGTCAGTGAATATTCTACTTAACACACACCTATCAGTGAATATTCTACTTAACACATACACCTGTATGTGAATATTCCACTCTTAATAACACATACAGTGCAAATTGTCATGGGCAGCTTGTTATAATGTGACAACTAATTATAAATAAATTAAGCAGATATTAATCAACTGGTTGAACTGTAAGGGAAATTACATATGGCTTCATTACACCTCCAATTATTTGCTTTCATAACCTGCCAATGACATGGAACAATTTTCAAGATTTCAGAAAATTGACAGACGAATGTACGATGTATAAAGTTATCACATC